AGACACAGGTGCCACGGCCAGAGCCCGGTCCCAAGCTCAGGCACTGTCCCCGGGGGTCCCATCTCCATCTCCATCCACCCACTCACGGTCCCCGCTCGCCCTTCGGTCCTGCTCCCAGCGTGGGAGAGGCCAAGATGCCTTCCCAAAAGATGAGGGCTGAGGCTTGGCCGCCTTCCAGGGCCGGGGTGAATTTATTTTGGAGCTATAGGAACTATATGTAGCAGCCGGAGCCAGGAAAAGGTCAGGATGCAAAACGGGAGGGGGGGGAGGCTGTCAACGGCACGAAGGGTTTGTGTAGGGTCTGCGGTGCAGGGCTGGCTGTAGGAGGGGTGATAGCCATCTCGTAACACAACCATCACCAGAGGAAAAACAGCAGCAGAGTGGAGGACAAGGTCCCACGGCCCGGTGCCAGCGTCGTTCTGGCAGCGCCAAGCATCTGCTGTGGGTCCTGAGCAGGTTTCAGGGTGATGGGCCAAATCCCGGCTCCCTTCTCCACAGCCACGACCCAAAGAAAGGTCAGGATGCAAAATGGGCGGGGTGGGGGGAGCTGTCAACGGCACGAAGGGTTTGTGTAGGGTCTGCGGTGCAGGGCTGGCTGTAGGAGGGGTGATAGCCATCTCGTAACACAACCATCACCAGAGGAAAAACAGCAGCAGAGTGGAGGACAAGGTCCCACGGCCCGGTGCCAGCGTCGTTCTGGCAGCGCCAAGCATCTGCTGTGGGTCCTGAGCAGGTTTCAGGGTGATGGGCCAAATCCCGGCTCCCTTCTCCACAGCCACGACCCAAAAACCTCGTCCCCAGGAGCAGAGTCAGGATTTAAATGCTCGTTTCCTGCCTCTTTGTGATTTTGTTCGCTGACGGTAACGTGTCGTGGTTTAATTGCTTAACGTGCTTGTAAAACCGGAAAAAGAGGAAGAAAAATACCCTACAAAACCCCACCTCACGCCAAAAGCTGAAGCAGAGGCTGCAGCCACCCCAGTTGCTCACATCTGCCTCTGCACGGGTGCTCCCCACCCCCAGCACCTTCCGAGATGCCTCGGGTTCTGCTGGAAATCCCAATTAATCCACCCATAAACAGTTTTTCTCCAGACCGTTAGAAATATAGAATATGGCATTTGACAGGACGAGGGGTAACGGTTTTAAATTGGAAAAGGGGAGACTTAGATTAGATAGTAGGAAGAAATTCTTTACATTGAAGGTGGTGAGACACTGGCCCAGGTTGCCCAGAGAAGCTGTGGCTGCCCCATCCCTGGAGGGGTTCAAGGCCAGGCTGGATGGGGCTTTGAGCAACCTGGTCTGGTGGGAGGTGTCCCTGCCCAGGGCAGGGGGACTGGAACTCAATGATCTTTAAGGTCCCTTCCAACTCTAACCATTCTATGATTTAGCTCTAAGAACATGGGTATATTTTTTTTAATATATATCTATCTAGGAGGCATTTTTGGCATGAGCCTCCTCAAAGCCGTGGATATTTTTTTTTTTAATATATATCTATCTAGAAGGCATTTTTGGCATGAGCCTCCTCAAAGCCGAAGCCAGAGGTTTCCATGCTGAGCCCTTTGAGGATGAGCAGTGCTGCCGATGGCCTGCACCTGCGGGATGTTTGGGGCTGCTTCTTCCCCAGGGCCAAAGCTGTTCCAGCTGGAGCAGCTCCCAACCTGCTCCTTCCACACACAACGGATCCTGGGACTGTCTTCCAGCTCTCCAACACGCACTGGGTTACACCGGCAATGTGGGTGCCACGTGGTAGCCACATTTTTGCTCCTCGCCCTGGCTTTGGTGGTGGAGCTCTCATCCCGTAGGACAACTCAGTGCTTAGGAGTAAAATTAGCTCCAGACACTATTTTAATTGCTCCTAGAGGTAGGAAGGGTGCCTCGCTCGTAGCCTCAGGGCAGGGATTTAGATTTGTCTGCTGATGCTGCTTTGCTCCCTTTAGGCATGTCCAAGTTCACTGAAGTTGTCTCAAATCATCCCCCTTGAGCTGCTGAGGGGCTCCAAGGCCTGCTGGGTTTGGGACATGGGGAGAGGTAGAAGTGCCCTGGATCCATGCTGGGGATAATGCCCATGCTATGGGGGTGACCAGGGGTGACCAGCCCTGGGCTCTGTCCTTGGGCATCTCCTTTGCCAGCGAGCAGGACACCTGCAGTGGGGGAAGTTTGCTTTGGGCAGGTGAAGGTTGGGGGTCACTCCTGGAGGAGGTACCAGCATCCCGCTCCCAGCAAGGTGCAGATCATCCAAAACCCTTGGGGACTGTGTGACCTTTCCATGCCCCACACAGCCTTTGCTTTGTCGCAGTGAGAGCTGGAGGGGGCTTTTGAGGTTCCTGCGATGCCCTTGGGCTTGCAGAGCCCCAACTGTCTCATCCACGCCCCCTCCCCACACTGGACTCCAAAACCCAACATGGGACATAGAATCATAGAATCAATCATATGGGGTTGGAAGGGACGTCTGGAGATCATCTAGTCCAACCCCCTGCCAAAGCGGGTCCACCCAGAGCAGGTTGCACAGGAACTTGTCCAGGTGGGTTTTGAATGTCTCCAGAGAAGGAGACTCCATGGACAGCCTGTTCCAGGGCTCTACCACTCTCACAGTAAAGTAGTTCCTCCTCATGTTTAGGTGGGACTTCTTATACTCAAGTTTGTGCCCATTTCCTCTTGTCCTGTCACTGGGCACCACTGAGAAAAGACCGGCCCCGTCCTCCTGACACCCTCCCTTTAAGTATTTGTACGCATTAATAGATCCGCCCTCAGCCTTCTCTTCTCAAGACCCAAGTCCCTCAGCCTCTCCTCGTAGGAGAGATGCTCCAGGCCCTTAATCATCTTTGCGGCCCTTTGCTGTACCCTCTCCAGCAGCTCCCTGTCCTTCTTGAAGGACACGGGAACATTAAATAAACGTATGTGGGGTACATTAAATAGCACATCAGCATGGGGACCCTTTGCAGGCAGGGCTGCTGGGCTTGGTGGCATCCTGGGCCACCTTGCCTTGGCAGGGCGAGCCCTGTGGGCACGGAGAGCAAACCCTGCGAGTCCCCACCGCCTGGTGCCTCCTGGCCCTGCTGCCTGGGCTGCGTTCAGCGCCGCGGCCGCTCACGCCATAGAAGGGCAGATAAAGCCCTGGCTTCCCAGAGGCTCCGAGTTTTCCTGCTCTCTCTCTCTCTCTCTCTGGCAACTGTGCTTCCCTCCAGCTTCAGAAGGGGGGCTGCTGGGGGGGCAGGGACGCCTGTTTGCTTTGCCATGCTTTTTTTTTCCCCAAGCCAGGCTCCCTAATCTGGGCTGTATTTGGCCACGCTGCTGTGATGACGGGGCCAAGCTGGGGTGCAGCCGGCACAGCGGGGTCCCCAGCACCCTGCGGGCTGCAGGGCACGTTTTCCTGAGGGACTGATGGTTTTTGGGGAGGCTGGAGGGTGGTGACACGTCTGCAGGTGGATTCCCTCCCCCACGGTGCATCCCCATCCCTGCCCAGAAGCACAACCCATTGATGGGCATCAGGGGCGAGATTTGCCCTGTGCCAACGCGAGCTGGCGAGCTTGGCTTCTTATCTTTCAGCAACAGATAAGAATATATCCGTCTTTTTCTCTTTTTTTCTCTTTTTTTTCCTTTTTTTTTCCTTTTTTTTCTTTTTCTCTTATTTCACTTTTTTCTCTTTTTTCTCTTTTTTTCTCTTTTTTCTTTTTTCCCTTTTTTCTCCCTTTTTTTGCCCTTTTTTCTTTTTTTTTCTCTTTTTTCTCTTTTTTTTCCACGTGTGTCTTTTTCTCTTATTTCACTTTTTTCTCTTTTTTCTCTTTTTTTCTCTTTTTTCTTTTTTCCCTTTTTTCTCCCTTTTTTTGCCCTTTTTTTCTTTTTTTTTCTTTTTTTCTTTTTTCCTCTTTTTTTCTCTTTTTTCTCTTTTTTCTCTTTTTTCTCTTTTTTTTCTCTTTTTTTCTCTTTTTATCTTTTTCCCTTCCTCCCTCCCCAAGTGACTAGATTAAACCCGTGCAGGGCTGGAAGGCATCCCGTGTTGCTGACGGCAGCTCCTGGCTCTGGGTTGTATCACCAGCCCCGCGGCGGTGGGAGCGTGCGGGGCCGAGCAGCACATTCCTGCTCTCCTGAGGTCACCGCTTGTGCCACCGCCAGCCCTCGCCCGCTGCCAGCCCAGCACGGGGGTCAGCATCACCTCTGATTTATGGTTATTTTTCATTTCTCACTCCTGCTCCGGCCCAGCTGTGTAAAGCACTGGCAGCAGGGGGGATGTTTGGGTGCCAGGGACCAGGCTGACCCCGATCATCCCGGGGTGGCAGGGATGGGGAAGGAGGAGGGTGGCAAGGAAGCGCCATAGCAGGAGCCCTACCAAGTGCTGCCTCCTCTCCCCCACCAAATGTTTTGCTGCCGGAGGCTCCCCAGTACTGTCAGGGGGTGTTGTGAGCATCTCCCAAATTTTTCCAGCTGGTGGCTGGCAATGCCACACGGCAAAGCGGCCGGGACACAGGGAAATGGCACAAGCTCAGGGTGACCTTATAGCGGCCTTTCAATACCTGAAGGGTGCCTATAGAAGAGCTGGGGAGGGACTCTTTGCCAGGAAGGGTAATGATAGGACAAGGGGAAATGGTTTTAAATTGGAAGAAAAAAGATTCAGATTAGATATCAGGAGGAAATTTTTTCCTATGAGGGTGGTGAGACACTGGAACAGGTTGCCCAGAGAAGCTGTGGCTGCCCCATCCCTGGAGGGGTTCAAGGCCAGGCTGGATGTGGCCTTGAGCAACCTGCTCTAGTGGGAGGTGTCCCTGCCCAGGGCAGGGGGTTGGAACTCGATGATCTTTAAGGTCCCTTCCAACCCAAACCATTCTATGATTCTATGACACGAGAGCACCCATGGGTGCTTAGGGGTGGCAGGGGACCAAGGAGGGGAGACCACCACTGCTTGAGCACCCATGTTTTAGCAGGGCTGAAGTGTGCTCAGTGCAGGATAGCTGGCTGCAGGGTTGTCCTCTGCCTGCAGCCACGTGCTCCCCTTGTCCCCCTGCTGCTCCAGCCCCCTCTCTCTCTGCCAGGGACAGCTAAAAGCCCAGCAGCAGAAGGGACCGGCTTCCCGGGAGCTCACGGCCTTGAAGACAGAGAACGGTGAGAAGAAAATGTGTGTCTCCCCTCCTCAGCTGTGCTTTCTCAGTGTGATATTAAGAAAGCAAGTAGGACAGACCCCAGGGCTGAGCTGAGGATAGGGATGATGGCTCCAGCCTCCCCACGGCGCTGGTGTGGGCATCCCAGAGACGATGGCACCCCAGAGATGGTGGCATCCCACCCTCTCAGGCAGCCAGGTCGTCCCCAGGGCAGGAGGCTTAATGAGCTGTGTCCTCTCTGAACCTGCCAGCGCCATCCCAATTAGTGCTAATTTGCACCAGTGAGATAGGGGAGAGGTATTTGTTCAGCGGGAAGAGGACAGGGGCTAAACCCAGGACACCCAGGCAGCCCCGTTCCAGCCCAGTTTGCGTTGCAGCCAATGCCTCCCTGTCGCCTGAGGATGGGAAGAAGGAGGCAGGAGAGGAGCGGAGCGGGAAGGCGAGACTCCTCCAAGGCCAGGAGGAGGAGGAGGAGGAGCAGCTGCGGGATGCCGGCCAGGCAGGGACTGCCAGGATCACCCAGGACACTAACACCCAGGTCGGTGGAAAAGGTGGTTGCTGCTGGAAGGCAGTGGCCGGGCAGGACTTTCCAGGCAGTAATCATGGACCTGGCACACTCCAGGCTGGGCTGTCCTTTTCTTTGGAGGAGGAAGGGTTTAGGAAGGGATTAGGAAGCCTGGAGTGATGCAGGTCTGGCAACAAGTCATGAGAGGGCAGGGGAGCCAGAGCATCCCGTACGCTGGGATGGGTAGGGTTTGTCATCTCCTTGCTTCCCAGGTGGAAAAGGAAAAAGACCTGGAGTTGGAGGAGCAGTTTGATGCCCTGAGGAGAGAGCACATGGAGACCCTGCAAGGTGTGTGGCAGGACAGCAGGGCTCCCTGCGGGTCATGGGGACACTGCCCCCCTGCTCCACAGCATCATGGGGCTCAGGTGGGGCTCACTGCCCTGGTGTTCCCACACTGGTAACGCATGGCTCTTGTCCCCACTGCAGAGCTCCAGAGAGCACATGAGCAGGAGAAGCTGCTGCTGGCAGAGTCCCACCACAGGTCCCAAGCGGCCTTACAGGTACCTGTGGAGAAACCCCTGGGAAAGGGTGCTGGTGGAAGGGTAGAGGACCATCTGCTGGCTCTGCCATGGTGCCCTGAGCTCTTCATTGGTCACCTTGGTCTCTGGTGTGCCCAAGGACCACACAGGCTCCTCCAGCCCTGGGGTTATCAGGGCACTGTAGCCCAGCAGTGCCCCTGCTCGGGAAGAAATCCCAGACCCATCCCATCCTACTTCTTCCCCGGCTGCCCCAGGAGACGATCCAGGCACTGAATTCCCAGCTGAAGTCCTTCCAGGAGAGGATGAAGCGGGTGGAGGAGTCACTCTTGAGCACAGACTACAAGAAGCACATCCAGGTACAAGGACACGTGGGACCGGTGGCCTCTGCAGAGGGGTGTCAGGGAGGGGACCAGCTCCAAGGTGCTGGCCCAAAGCCAGGGGTGCTTCTCTGATGGCCCCTGGGAGCCATTGAAGGGGCACAGGACTGCTGAAGAAGGGAGCAAAGCCCTGTCTGTTGGAAGTACATAAGCTATTGGGGTCCCTTCAACACAAGTGATGGGCAAAGCATGGTGCCTTGTTGGTACAAACCCATCCTGGGCCATGAAGGGCCCCAGCCAAGAGTGCTGACCCACTGGGGTCATGCCTGGGGGGTGGGTAAACCATGGCAGATGCCCCAAGCACCCACCCCTGCAGCTGCTGCACCCCCTGTGCCCCACAGGAGCACGGGAGCCCCAGCCCCTTCTGGGAGCAGGAGCTGGAGAGCCTGCACTTTGTCATCGAGATGAAGAATGAGCACATTCATGGCCTGGATAAGAAGCTGCTGAACCTGGAGACTGTGGTAGGTTGAATGGAGGGGGTCACAGGTGGGCTTTCCTCTTTCCATCTCTCTTCTCCCCACCTGAATCCTGTCCAGAAGTTGCAGCTGAAGCAGAGGTGGATGGAGCCCGGTTCCTCTCTTGGAGAAGGAGGGGACATGGGTGCAATGCCACCACGCTCCAACCAAGCCCACATTCCCTCAAGATGGGGTGGTGGTGAGTTCAGAGGCACTTTCCGGCTTCCACCTCACCCTCATCCCCGCATCCCGGCTTCCAGGCGGAGAAGAACCTTCTGCTGGAAGAGAAGGTGAAGACTCTCCAGCAGGAGAACGAGGACCTGCAAGTTCGCACCCAGAACCATTTGGACATGGCAAGGTAAGTGCTGGTCCCACGGGAGGCATCTCTGATGGGGGGAGAGGTGGCAGTGGCAGGGGGGCAATCCATCACAGCGCCGAGTGCTGGGAGGGGATGGGAGGGGGCTGGTGGCCGCTTTGCCCAGTGGCTCCTGGCAGCGTGTGATGTTCTTCTCCTGCAGGCAGCTGTCGGAGGAGCTCCTGGCCGCCCGTGGGGCACTGGAGAAGGAGGCACAGCTGCGGGACCAGGCTCGCCGTGAGAAGGAGGAGCTGCTCTACCGGGTGCTCAACGGGGGGGACGGCTCCCCCTTCCCCATCCCTGCCGGCGAGGTGCCCCTCATCGCCACGTAGCACGCTGCCCACCGGCACCGCACGCTGCCGGGGGGGCTACTGGGGTTGTCCTCTGGGACCATGAGCCCAAGGCTGCTCCCACGAGTGCCCCCGCTGCCGGGGCAGGCCCCCGGGGTGGCCAAGCCCTCGGGGTGGCCCCATCCGACCGGGACGATGGAGCATTTCACAGGACACTTGCGCCTGCCTTTGCCCAGCCCGTGAAGGGCTGCAGGGGGACCCCAGCCACCCCTCCTGTGCCATCTCTGCACCCCTTCCTCTGGTGGGAAGCCGTGGGGGATGTTATGGAGGTAAAAGTGGTTGGCCAGGACACACAGATGTGCATTGGGCTGGATCCCACCCAGCGGCTTGGCTCTGAGCATCAGTGCTGCCCCGGGGGCATGGAGGTGAGGAGGACAGGGTGGTGGCTCTTGTCCCCACTGCAGAGCTCCAGAGAGCACATGAGCAGGAGAAGCTGCTGCTGGCAGAGTCCCACCACAGGTCCCAAGCGGCCTTACAGGTACCTGTGGAGAAACCCCTGGGAAAGGGTGCTGGTGGAAGGGTAGAGGACCATCTGCTGGCTCTGCCATGGTGCCCTGAGCTCTTCAGTGGTCACCTCGGTCTCTGGTGTGCCCAAGGACCACAGAGGCTCCTCCAGCCCTGGGGTTATCGGGGCACTGTAGCCCAGCAGTGCCCCTGCTTGGGAAGAAATCCCAGACCCATCCCATCCTACTTCTTCCCCGGCTGCCCCAGGAGACGATCCAGGCACTGAATTCCCAGCTGAAGTCCTTCCAGGAGAGGATGAAGCGGGTGGAGGAGTCACTCTTGAGCACAGACTACAAGAAGCACATCCAGGTACAAGGACACGTGGGACCGGTGGCCTCTGCAGAGGGGTGTCAGGGAGGGGACCAGCTCCAAGGTGCTGGCCCAAAGCCAGGGGTGCTTCTCTGATGGCCCCTGGGAGCCATTGAAGGGGCACAGGACTGCTGAAGAAGGGAGCAAAGCCCTGTCTGTTGGAAGTACATAAGCTATTGGGGTCCCTTCAACACAAGTGATGAGCAAAGCATGGTGCCTTGTTGGTACAAACCCATCCTGGGCCATGAAGGGCCCCAGCCAAGAGTGCTGACCCACTGGGGTCATGCCTGGGGGGTGGGTAAACCATGGCAGATGCCCCAAGCACCCACCCCTGCAGCTGCTGCACCCCCTGTGCCCCACAGGAGCACGGGAGCCCCAGCCCCTTCTGGGAGCAGGAGCTGGAGAGCCTGCACTTTGTCATCGAGATGAAGAATGAGCACATTCATGGCCTGGATAAGAAGCTGCTGAACCTGGAGACTGTGGTAGGTTGAATGGAGGGGATCACAGGTGGACTTTCCTTTTTCCATCTCTCTTCTCCCCACCTGAATGCTGTCCAGAAGTTGCAGCTGAAGCAGAGGTGGATGGAGCCCGGTTCCTCTCTTGGAGAAGGAGGGGACATGGGTGCAATGCCACCACGCTCCAACCAAGCCCACATTCCCTCAAGATGGGGTGGTGGTGGGTTCAGAGGCACTTTCCGGCTTCCTCCTCACCCTCATCCCCCCATCCCGGCTTCCAGGCGGAGAGGAACCTTCTGCTGGAAGAGAAGGTGAAGACTCTCCAGCAGGAGAACGAGGACCTGCAAGTTCGCACCCAGAACCATTTGGACATGGCAAGGTAAGTGCTGGTCCCACGGGAGGCATCTCTGATGGGGGGAGAGGTGGCAGTGGCAGGGGGGCAATCCATCACAGCGCCGAGTGCTGGGAGGGGATGGGAGGGGGCTGGTGGCCGCTTTGCCCAGTGGCTCCTGGCAGCGTGTGATGTTCTTCTCCTGCAGGCAGCTGTCGGAGGAGCTCCTGGCCGCCCGTGGGGCACTGGAGAAGGAGGCACAGCTGCGGGACCAGGCTCGCCGTGAGAAGGAGGAGCTGCTCTACCGGGTGCTCAACGGGGGGGACGGCTCCCCCTTCCCCATCCCTGCCGGCGAGGTGCCCCTCATCGCCACGTAGCATGCTGCCCACCGGCACCGCACGCTGCCGGGGGGGCTACTGGGGTTGTCCTCTGGGACCATGAGCCCAAGGCTGCTCCCACGAGTGCCCCCGCTGCCGGGGCAGGCCCCCGGGGTGGCCAAGCCCTCGGGGTGGCCCCATCCGACCGGGACGATGGAGCATTTCACAGGACACTTGCGCCTGCCTTTGCCCAGCCCGTGAAGGGCTGCAGGGGGACCCCAGCCACCCCTCCTGTGCCATCTCTGCACCCCTTCCTCTGGTGGGAAGCCGTGGGGGATGTTATGGAGGTAAAAGTGGTTGGCCAGGACACACAGATGTGCATTGGGCTGGATCCCACCCAGCGGCTTGGCTCTGAGCATCAGTGCTGCCCCGGGGGCATGGAGGTGAGGAGGACAGGGTGGTCACAGGGATGGGACAGGGACAAGCACTACAACGATGAGGACACTGGGGACATGGTGGTGTTAAGGTACCTTGCTCCCTGAGGAGCATCCCTGGGAAGCACGTGGCCAAGCCCAGGGCTGAGCCACAGAGGCTTTCACAGGGCAACAGCAAAGGGCAGGAGGGACAGATGCAGCCAGGTGAATCTGCCCCTGCCATAGATCACGTCAGCCTGTCCTGTTTTGGGGCTCAGCCTCCTGCTTAGACTGCTCTGAGCTGATGCCACCACCCCTGCCCTTTCCAGTGAAAGCAGGGCTTCCTCCACCCAGGACCCGCCTTGCTCCCTGAGGAGTGGGCCAGGCAGGGCTCCCACCCATTCCCTGCTCTCCCCGTCACCTCCTCCATCTTCAGCTCCCTGGGATCACTCCTCCAGCCCAGGCATGTCCCCACTCACTGCCACACAGACACCAAACCCTCCTTGTCCCCTCTGCCCATCAGCAGCACCACCAGCTCCATCCTCTCCCCCAAAGCCGGGCAGAGGCTGCCTGCCCAGGGAAGCACATTCAGGGAGCAGAGCATCCTCCCGAGGGGGAGCAGGCTCCAGCAGGTCACATCCCTCCCTGCTCCAAACCAGCACAACCCTGTTGGAGAAGATGCTGCCAGCACAGCTGCAGGTCAGGGCTGGATGCACACAAGCACTTTCCACTGTGTGGTGGGACTGTCACTGGCCTGTCCCCTCCCCAGGGCTGTGTAGCTGGGGTTTGTATGTATGTGTGTGTGTGTACGTGTGTGCACCAGGCCAGCGTGCCACGGGCTGTAACAATTACAAGTCTGTAAGAAGCAGCAGCCTTAAGAATCACATCAATGGGTTTGGGGACCCGTGCAGGAGCATCTCACAGCGGGGCAGTGTGCTCCACACCTAGGGTGGGGGGGGAAACAGGGAGGAGTGGGATCAGGCACCAGGAAGCCCTGATCCCAGTCCACCTTTCCCTGCTCCTTCCCTCATTTCCCTGGGCTCCCAGCACAGGGCAGACCCTGACCCTCCCAGCAACAGCCGCTTCTGTCCTTTGTGCTGATCCTTGTTGGGAAAACATCAGCTGAAGGAGCCAACCAGGAAAGCAGCACAGACGCAGGGTCCAGCTCTCACCCAAGGACATCCACGGGACACCCAGTGTGTCAGACCAGTGTCCTCCCAGAGCACCCGCTGCTCCATGCATCCCCCATGGCTCTGGGGAGGGGTGGTGGGGCAGCCTCCAGCTTTGCACTGCAACCTCAAGGACATGGGAGGACATTCCAGGTACTGTGGTACCAAAGCAGGGATCATGGGGCAGGTTTCTGTCCCAGTAACTCCTGTCTAGCTGTAGGTGAAGGGGGCAGGATGGCTGGGCAAAGGGAGATGAGGCTGGCAGGGTTGAGCATCCTGCTCTGGGCACCTGGTGCTGCATCCCTCACCCCCCCAAAGGCAGATCCTGCGTGGGACACAGAGGAATGTGCCTGGTTCTGGGAAAGAGGAGGGCTGGGAACTGAGGAGGAGGAATAAATGAGTCCAGAAAAGGAGCTGGCCACAGTAAGGAGGAAAAAGCCTGGCACAGGCAGTGCCTTGGGGGTCGGAGGGGGACAAGGCAGGTCAGCCCTGCCTGCCTCAGTGTGCCAAGGCAGCTTGGAGGGTCAGGGCAGCAGGAGAAGCCTTCACTCTGCCATGAGCAGCTGAGTGACAGGGGGGAGTTGGGGAGCTGCAGGGAGGGGTTTCAAAGGCAAAAAAATCCCAAACCCACAACAGCAGCAGAAACACTTGTCTGCTTTATCATCTCCAAACTAAGCTCCTTCAAGCAAGGGCTTGCCATGAGGATTGAGGTTGCTCAAGGAGGTTCACCAGACTCGGGAGAAAACTCCTGGAGCTTGTGTCAGGGCTGCGTCCCTCCATGGGATGGGACCCAAGGGGCCCTTCTGCCCCTCCAGGCACAGGGAGGAGGGAGCCAGGCACCCAGGGACCAGCCTGTCTCCTTTTATTGCCCTGGAGCAGATGGGCACTGCCTAGTCCTGCAGGGCTCCAGGACCACCTCCCTGGCCATCCTCCCCTGCAGCTCCCGGGTGGTTGACTCTTCAGGTGGGTGGCTCTCAGCACTGTGCCAGATCCCATAGCCAAAATAAATGAGGAAACCTGGGAATGAACAGATAGATTGGGGGCAGGGGAGTCCTCTCTCTTCCCTCCCTTCCCAGCCACAAAGTTCTCACTCCTTTGGGCCATGCATCAGAGGATGGGGTGGTCCCACCACCCTTTGACATTAAAGTTCAGCATCTCCATCTGCCCACCACTGCTCTGCAGCCAGCGTTAACACCATGGGCTCTCTCAAACCACCTATACTTCACCAAAGAGGTTGCTGCCAGCTCTGGGACCTGGAGGTTGACTCTGCTTACCCATGGCCATCCAGAGCAGGTACCGCAGCCAGGCGGCCGCGCTGAGCCGGGCCATCAGGAGGCTGTTGATGGTGATGCTGAGGAGGGGCAGGAAGGGCAGGCAGGGAACCTGCAGGGACCAAGCACAAGGTAACACGGTCATGCCTTTGTCCAGAGGCACCATCTGGCCCTCAGGCAGGGGTTTTACAGCCCACATGGGCTCTTTGCTGGCTCAGAGATGGAACTGCAGCCTGTGCTGCAGAGGGATGCCCGTGGAACATGGTTTAATTAACAGGTCCTGCACAAGGGCAGAATTTAAGGGGGAGGCAGGAAACCACTAGCAAAACCAATCCAGGGTGTCAGAACCAGGTTTCTTTCTGAAGAGCAGATCTAATTCATGCAGCAGGCACTGGGCTCACTTGGGGCTGCAGGAGGTGCCCCTTTGGCCTGTGAGACATGGGGGGAAGGAGCAGGCAGCCCTCACAGTCCCTACAGAAAACCCCACGAGCTGCCTGATGCCCTCCAGCATCCAGTACCTTGTCCAAACTTTGGATGCAGCAAAGATCTGCCTGACCTGAAGCAGAGGGAGAAGGAACACACCCCCAGTGCAAGATAACCCTTTCCCCATGGGGCTGTGGCACTTGCCTCCTCTCCATCCCCAAGATCCTTCTCCCTGGGAACGGTCCCCGAGAGCCAGACCGTGTGCTCACCATGAAGGATGCTCTCTCCCGGCTCTGAGGCTGCCTCCAGATGAGCAGAGCTGCCACCAGGATCCCCAGGAGAGGCAGAGCCAGTCCCGAGATGCACCAGGCACCCCCAGCCTGGAGGCAGGGCAGCCCGGTGGAGGTCACCCAGCTCACAACACAGACCAGGGTGGCTGTGGAAGGACCACAGCAGCACATCAGGGCAGCCACCCATCCCTCTCCCGGGGTGCAGCAGCATCCAAGGCTGCCATGAAGGACAACCAGGGGAGAGGGCTGGGTAGCTCATCATGGTGGGTTTCCTGGGAATTGGAGGGAGCAGGAGGTTTCCCCAAGGTCCCAGTGGGGGCCAAGCTGTGTCCAGTCAGGAGAGGGCAGGAGGGAGAGTGGAGCTCACCCAGCTCACGGCACAGACCAGGGTGGCTGTGGAGGGACCACAGCAGCACATCAGGGCAGCCACCCATCCTTCTCCCAGGGTGCAGCAGCATCCAAGGCTGCCATGAAGGACAACCAGGGGAGAGGGCTGGGTAGCTCATCATGGTGGGTTTCCTGGGAATTGGAGGGAGCAGGAGGTTTCCCCAAGGTCCCAGTGGGGGCCAAGCTGTGTCCAGTCAGGAGAGGGCAGGAGGGAGCCAGGCAGGCTCTGCCTCCATCCTGCTGCTGGCTTGTTTTCAATGAGAAGGAACCTGCCAGCCTGTGGTACAGCAGCGACATCCCCTGTGTCCCCTACGTGTCCCCCCCTTGTCCCCGATACCAGCTCCTCATAAAGCCCTTCCATTGCTCCAGGATGTACCTGTGGCTGTCAGAGCCCAGACCACTGTGGTGGAGGAACACAGGGTGGGACGCAGGGGTGGATGGATGAGATGGTCCCACCAGAGCCGCGTTGCTGGGACCTTTCCCACAGGAGTGTCCTGAGCACTGGGTTCAGGCCGATACCTGAGGAGCAGGTAGTGGATTTTAAAGCACGTGGAAAGCACACCTGGCTGGGTTCAGGCCTATACCTGAGGAGATATTGGATTTTAAAGCACGTGGAAAGCACACCTGCAGTGCACCAACACCAGAAGCTGGCTGAGCCCCATCCCCTGTCCCCAGAAGTCTCACCTGAGCAGCAGCACACAGCCAGCCACCAGCGAGTAGGCCAGCAGTGTGCCAATGGACATCATGTCAACCAGGGCTTTCAGGTCAAAGAGGAGAGCAAGGAGAGCTGCCAGGGATGAGAAGCCCTTTCAGCCTCCTGGCAGAAGATATCTCCCCTCTGGGTGGGGTCATACTGCTCAAACAGCTACTGGCAAGCTCAAGGGTCTGTGTTCTCCTGCTGAAAGAGGACATGCACCAAGCCCTGCTCAAGGTTAAGGGGAAACCCAATCACTCACCCACCTGCCACTATTCCAGACACCAGCGTGGCCACCACCGGGCACTGACGGCGACTAACTTTAGCCAGAGGTTTGAAGAGGAGCCCATCTCGAGCCATAGCATACAGGATCCGTGGCATGGGGAACATGGAACCCAGGAGGCTGCAGAGGGGGGAGAAGATGAAGGACAAAGAGGCAGGCACCTAGGAGATGCCTATCCTGCCTTTTTCTCCTCCTTGGTTGCCAAGGGAGCTCCTGTTCATCTGTATGGTCCACAACCTTCTAAGACCATGCTGACAAGACCAGCACCTCCCTCACCATCAGATGAGGGACAGTATTGGGGAAGTTACATCCACAGGTCACTGGAAGCCCTGTGCACACTGAGACACTCCAATCTGCTCCTACGGTCATGGTGCCACCAAACCCCCAACCACTTCATCCAACTTTGAGCTAAATGCAGCATACCAAGGGGTTTGGTTGCTCTCCATGATCAGGAGGTGCCAGGCTGGGAGCAAAAGGGTTTGTGAGGAAAGGCTGAGAGGTTTTGGCCAAGCAGGACAGTCAGAAGGAAGGGGTTGGGGATAGTTCCTGGACATGTTCCAGCTCCAGAGCTCCCATCAGAGGACTCCCCTCACCTGGTTGTCAGGGCACACAGTGACCCCACAGCCACAGCGTGCTTTGCACTGCTCCAGCCAACATATTCAAAAGCTGCTGGGAGGGGGCTCATGGTGTCCAGGAGGTGGTAGGGCATCATCAGGGTGAGGGCAGCAGATACCCCGAAGTAAGCCAGGAAGCAGATGAGGAGAGAGAGAATGATGCCTGTGGGGATGGATCTCTGCGGGTCCCTCACTTCTTCCCCTGGGGAGGACAAGCTCAGCCATAAGAACAGATGCTCATGGCATGCCAAGAGCCCAGCTCATGCTGGACAGCATATCTCCCCATGAGAGGGGACACAGAGGCCTTCTAGCAAGGACCACTAGACCTCCTGGGCTCCAGGGCTATGGGGATAGGGACTGTCTCTGCTTTGGGATTAACCCATTCATGCCACATGGACTCTCTCACCCTTCCTCCTCTGAGCACAGAGGGCAGGAGAGAAGGGCTGTGGCACAAAGCTGGTAACATGCCCATTCCCAGCCTAGTCCCACACCAGCTCCCAGGGAGAAAGAATCACTGCCACAGCCCCCCTGCCTGCAGGGAAAGGTCCCACCAGCATCTCTCCACACCTCACTTACCCGTGGTGGCAATGCAGTCAAACCCAACAAAGGCATAGAAACAGGTAGAGGCTCCAGCCAAGGTCCCAGTGAAACCATAGGGCATGAAGCCTCCCACCCCAAAGGCACTGGTCACGTTGTCGACCACAGACTGGTTCCTGGGAGAAGGAGGAAGAGTCAGGCAGTGCAGAGGGGTCAGTGCAGTGGGTTGGCAGAGAGAAATGGGGGAAAGCAGGATTTCCTGAGATAAAGCATTCAAGGGTTGACCCAGCCACTCCCATGAATGGGGAGAGAATGAGACTCTCATACCCAGCTTCATGGGCAGCTGCCCATGGCAGATCATCCTCCCTGAGCTTCCAATTTTTTAGGTCGCCTTTGATGAAGCCGCCCACTGTGACGAAGAGCAGGACAAGCACATTGAGAGCTGTGAAGGCTTTGTTGACTGTGGTGGACTCTTTCACTCCAAAGGACAGAAGACCTGGGTATGAAAAGAGAAAAACTGGCCAAGTACCCTGGATGAAACCAAGCCCAAGATAGACATCATTAGGGAGGGTGGAAAAGGGGGGACAGTGGCAGTATCAGGAGCACCTACAGATTTCCCCCAATTCCCCTTGCATTCACCATTCTTTGCTCAGGGAAATGGCAAAGCCTCAGAGGTGGTCCAGCACCATCCTGAAGAGCCCATGGTGGGGTGAGGAGCTCATCCTGCATGATGGAGGGTGTCACAGGGGAAGGCATCCTACCTGCCAGCAGGACCACCAGGCCAGCGGCAAAGGCATCTGGGTGCTCTGCCAGCCCCACAGAGCTCATTGCCGCGTGAGCCCCCAAAAACCTCCCCATCTTCTTGCCGAGGAGCTGATCAAAGGTAGCGCTCCATGCCCGGGCGACGCTGGCGGTACCTGGGGAGAGGTGGCAGCTGGGACAGCACTGGTGGCCCTGCAGGGTCTGGGAATGACACCCAGCAAAGCCACAGCAGAGCGAGGAGGGAATCAAAAGGGCCTCATACCGATGACATAGGACAGCAGCAGATTCCACCCAGCAATGAAGGCCCACAGCTCGCCCACTGTCACATAGCTGTAGAGATAGACAGACCCAGCCAGGGGGACACGGGCCCCCAATTCAGCATAGCACAGCCCTGCCAAAGCAGACACCATGGCTGCAATCAGGAAAGAAAGGATGATGCTCGGACCAGAGCTGGTCTTAGCCACCTCCCCTGCCAGGATGTAGACACCAGCCCCCAGCGTGCTGCCCACTCCCAAGGCGATGAGGTCCACAGTGGAGAGGCAGCGGCGAAGGCTGGAGCTCTCTGAGCTGGCTTGGACTTGCTTTCTGCGGGAAAGCGTCTTCAAAACAGAGAGCAGGTAGTCCCAGCTTGGCATCTGCAGGAGAGAAGAGCAGCAGCCTTGAGGATGCTTCTGCTCCACCAGCTGGATGCTGTCCCCACAGCCTGGGGACGTGACTCAAACCCACCCTGAACATTTTCCCTGCAGCTCCCACAACCTACACAGTGCTTTCAGGACTCCCTGGGTGTTGCTTGTTTTCTGCCTCTGTCAGAAAAACAGCCCATTTTGGGGTTAAAGTAGCTGCTTTCTTCACTCATTGCGATGAGAAGAGGGGCAATGCATGACCAGGGTTTACTGGGCTCTGTCTCATTCACGCTAGGGTGAGAGGGGATAAGGATACCTGCTTGTCCCCTTTCCAGCCCAGAAAGTCTTGTTGATCCAGCTGCATCCCCAGCAGGATCTCCAGCATCCTCCCAGCTTTGACACTGAAGCTATTTAAAATGCAGAAACTGCAGAGACTGACAAAGAGCTGAGTTTTGGCCCTGTGCTGAGCAAGAGGAGGAGGGATGGGAGATGCTCCACTCCTGCAGCAGCCATCTGCCTCCCAATGCACCAGGAAGGACACATCTGCTCAGCTGAAGATGGTCCCACAACACCTGTAACTGCAAGTCAGTGGCACAGCTGGGACAGGGACCAGGTCCCCTGGGCCATCAGCACACACAGCAATGCTGAAGCTCGCTCAGGTCACTGACAGGGATGTCAGGCCAGCAGAAAAACCAAGTTGTGTGATACTGGTGGGATCCATGTGCCTTCCCCCATCCTTCCCCAGGAGTTGGCAGCACTAGGGAAGAGGGGCTGCATGCCTCCACATCTGCACAGTGCTCCCAGGACCTCTGCATTACTCCACAGCCAGGCAAAGTCCATGCTGTGTGCTTCAAATCCCATAATCTGATACTTATGGGGCCAGAGACCCAGCTGGAAACCCTGCTCACCAGCAGCAAGGATCACAGGGCATGGAGCTGCAGCATGGAGCCTGGAGAGGACAGGGACCACCCTGGGGCAGCACCCAGCACCCCAAACCACAGGATGAGGCACTGCAAAGTCCTCATGGCACAGAGACCCCCAACCTCTGGGGACAACCACAGAATCATCTAGGCTGGAAGAGACCCTCAGGATCATTGAGTCCAACCATCTACCCTACTCTAAAGTTCTCCCCTACACCATATCCCCCAACCACCATGTCCCCTGGGGGCTGGAGAGCTACTGCTCGAGGCCAGGCCAGCTGGGGCTGCCTTCCCACCACCCACCACCCTCCCCCAGCAGCACCCATGCACTGCCCAGCACCAGTCCCACCCAGGGCATCTTGTTCTAATGATTTTTCCCTTTTTCTACTTACCCCAGCCATCCTGGGGGCAAACGGCTCCTCCTGCCAGCTGATAGGGAGGGTGAGCACTGGGCAGCCCCAGTTACACTCCCCCCTTAAATCCTTTCTGGGAGGACCCTTGGCCCTCCTCCCAGCTGACCACCGCTCTGGGGTGCACAATGGGAAATCTATGCAGAAATATTTTTCCCACAATGCCTTCCAAATCATACACACGAGCCCACAATGCTAATAAGGCTCAGGGATGTTATTGAGGGGGGCTTAATTAACATTTCCAAGCTGCCTATACAGGTAGAAAGGGGAACCCCATCCCTGCTCCCTCACACCAGGAGCTCCCATCCCCAATCTGTGGAGCAGGTTTTGGAGGAAATCCAAAGAGGAGCAGAAGCACAACCAGGTCAAGATGTAGGCACCTACAGCTGTGACTGTGCCCAGGCTGAGCTGGCCCTGGGGAACACAGAGGGAGGTGAGCAGGTCCAAGGACTGACTGCAGCAGAAAGGCAGAGGAGCACAGAGCCAGCTCCCAGAAGCAGAGCCCTAAAGCTGCCTCCACTTCCCCGATATGTGAACACCAATCCCCCAGTTGCTGCCCCCACATTGCATAGAAACAACATTCTTAGAGAGAGGAGAAGCATCCAATCAGCCCAAACAGAGCTTGTAGCAGAGCAGGCAGCAGCACCATCCATCACTGACCCAGCCAGCCTTGCCCCAGCTCTTAACCCAAACAACACCCCCCTCATCCAGCCCCCAAACTCCTCAGCTTTTGCCTTACCTGGGGACTTGCAGAGGTGCAAGAACATCTTGGTCCTTCTCAACAGGGAATGAAACAGGCACCAGGAGCTACCCTGATACAGTATCTCCCCCCTAGAGTACAACCCATAGAAAGTGAGCAGCAGAGCATGAATAGGAGCTCAGGTGGGTCCAGGGCTGGGCTTAAATGGGGCTCAGGGCTGTGTGGGCGGGGGTCCCAGGTGAAGTTGCTCAGGAGCAGTAAGGCATATAAGTGCCCTCAGGCCCCAGCACAGCTGTTCTGTAGGGTTGCTGAGAGGAGGGAGAGGATGTGTAGGAAGCTGTGGTGTGATCTTGTTGGTCTTTAGCACCTTGTGAGAAGAGGACCAAGCCTGGGTTCTGAGAAAAGACTGGGAACGGCTATTTTTGGAGTGAGGATCTAAATTTGATCATGTTATAGGTAATGTGCAGGCTGAGTCTGCTTATGGTATTTGGGGACAAAAGCCATTTAGGTTGTGTGTAGGCTATGATGTAATCCAGCACATCCTCTAGCTTTCTAGTGCTATGGAAACTTCTAAGGAGCAGAGGAAGAAGAGGATATCAGCAATGCAGGAATAAAGCAAGGAAGGCTCTAGAGCACCTGAAGTGTGGGGTTATGCTCTAACCATAAGGTTGCTCTGCCCCATGTCCCCAGCACACCCTGTGAGATTCTGAGCTGGTGCCCTTCTGGGACAGGGGTCTCAGTACGCCATGGCACAGCCAGGGGCACCGGGAGGAGAAACAGGGTTGTTGTCCTGCACTGTAGCACAGGGTGAACAAAGCCGTGCTTGTCACCCACGCAGTCTCACATGAACAAGGTCTCCAGACACCAACGCAGCCCGAGGGAACATTATCCCAAGGGAACAACAGGGCAGGAAGGAGCAGCTTGTGGTGGCCGGCCACGAGGGTCATCTGCTCCCAGGGTGCTTCTGGTCTCCTGGGGTGGGGAATGGAACACAACACAACCCTGTGGCTGCACGCCAGCTATCAGGTATGTCACACCTAGCCTGGGGTCTCTGCTGCCCAAAACCAGTGTCTCTTAGGACAGGCAAGGCTGAGCATCTCAGTCTTGCAGCTCTGCAGAGATGCTCTGGACAGTGGGTGCCATCAAAGCTTAGATGCCTGAAGGGTTACCTGCCAGCAGCCTTCAATATCTCAAGGGCACCCCTTGGTGTTACTTGTTCCTGCTGATGTCAGCCAGACCACAGACACCACTGTCCGTGGCTCCTGGGGGTTCCCACCGGCTCCTCCAGCCCTACTGAGGCTTCTGTGCTGGCTGGGGCAAAGGGTGGTGGTAAAGAAGGAGCGGGGTTCACCTGGGTGGGGAAGGGAATGGCCTTGGGGTGCCGCAGGCAGTGATGAAGCTTTCCAGGAACATCTCAGCCTGCATCTCCACCCACTGCTGTGCCGCGAGCTCTTCTCATCCCTCTGCATTAGGAGGGAAGATTGATGGGGGACAGTGAGCTGCCTGTGCAGTGAGCTCCTGCCCTGGACAGATGGTCCTTGCAGAGCCCTGGTGAGCACCTTCCCCCAAAGAAGGTTTGGGGAGGGGGGGGCGGTTAAAGCCTCCCCTCCTTGGCTTTTACAGAGGGTCTGGGATGGTCAGTTCCCAACCACGTCCAGGGGAGGGGGGGGTGATTTGGTGTGGGTTGGGGTGGCAGCAGCAGGACAAGCCTGGGAGGCAGCGGGGTACCCCCACACCCCAGTCTTCACCAGGAAACCAGAGAGATAGAAGTGGGTGAAACTTCCGCAGCTGAAATGCAATCACTGTTATCTCTTCATGCTGTGTGTGCCACCACCGCTGGCACACGGCCCCCAGACACGCAGCGGGGGGGGGGGTTCTGCCAAGTGACCCCCCCAACACACACACTTTGGCAGGGGTAGGGTGATTCTGCGGGTGGCATCGGGTACATCCCCCCCAAAATCCCAAGGGGCTGAGGTTTCTGGGGGGGTTGGGAGTGTTGCCCTGACCCCCGTGCCAAGGCAGGCGGGGACTCGGAGGGCTGGCGAGCGGTGACGTCTCGCCGGGAGGACGCACCACACGCCAAGGACGGCCACAAGTACGCACCGAGAGCGGCGGAGGCGGCGGTGGCCAAGGCTGTGTTCCCGCTAGCCCACCCGGACAGGCCTCGGTGCCACTCGTAAGTGCCCGCTGGCATTTTGGGGAGGAGGGGGGGACCGTGCTGGTGGGCAAGGGGACACTGCCGCTGTGCAAAGCCACCCGGGTGGTGTGCGAGGGGGAGGAAAGCCGTGGCCGGGCGGTGAGCCCTGCCAGCAGAGACTCTCTCCAAGGGGTGGCTGAAGGGGGGATTCTTGTTTTCCTTTTTCTGGAAAACCCTCCCTTTTTAACAAAAGCCTTGGGGGGTTGCTTTTTTTGGGGTGGATGCTTTTTTTGGGGTGGGTGCTGGCGCTGCTGTGGGGCCCGTGGGTGCGTGTCATGCTGGGATGTGCCTTTGTCCCTGCTGGGGTGGCCGTGGGAGCACCCATCCCTCCACACAGGGGTTCAGGTGGGGAGGATGCCCCCCCAGTTTGGTACCCAGCGAGTTTTGCACAGGCAGAGGCACCCTATGGCACCCCAGAAGTGCAGGAGGGGGCAGGGGGACTTTTCAGCGCTGGGGTGTGGCAGGGGACTCTGGGGACATCCCTTGCCTCGCAGGAAGGACAGATGCTGCTTTTTTGGGGTTTTTTTAACCCAGTGAAGCTCCTTTTCCGCCCCACGGGCGAGACGATGGGGTGCTGGGTGTGCCGTGGCCTTTGCTATGTGTGGCCGTGCCAGGAGAGCCCCAGGAGGCAGCAAAAAATATCTGCTGGGCTCTTGGGGTGAAACCCCTGAGCCCAAAGCCATGGAGGGGCTGGTGGGGTGCACGCTGCGGGGGGACAGAGGCTTTTTTGGCAAGGGTGTGTGGGGGGGTGTTGTTCTGCATAGGGGACACGCTGTGCACATCATTTAGGGCTTCTCATGGCACTTTCTGCCCAGGGAAGCCCACCATCCCAAACCTCTCCATCCTTTTTTGGGGGTGGGGTGGAGGAGGGGGGGAAGGAACATCCCTGTGCCCGGGCTCTGCAGCCCCCAGGTTTCCCCGCCTGCCCCCCATGGAGTGTGGGGGGGTGTTGTTCTGCAAAGGGGACACGCTGTGCACATCATTTAGGGTTTCTCATGGCACTTTCTGCCCAGAGAACCCCACCATCCCAAACCTCTCCATCCTTTTTTTTGGGGGGAGGGAAGGAACATCCCCACACCCGGGCTCTGCAGCCCCCAGGTTTCCCCGCCTGCCCCATGGATGCAGTGTGTTTGTCCGGGCACCCTCCCCACATTGCCT